CCTCTGCACTTGGCTTCGGGCTGATCATTCACAGCCGTGGCCAGAACCTTCAGTGACTTCCTCATTCAAAGACTCAGCCTGTGTGGAAAGGAGGACGAAAGAAATGAAGGGTAGGTAACTCAAGTTCTCAGAGGGAAAGATGGGGAGCCATCCATCAGGTGCAGAGACGGGAAGTGACTGGCACAGGGTCACCCAGTAAGGCAGAAGCACACTGGCATGTTCTTGGGACAATAACACTCTCCTTCTGACCGCTCCCCTGTGTCCCCGCTTGACATGGTGTTCCAGTCACGCAGAGCTCAAATTTGCATGCTCTTTCACAGGTCTGCTTCCTTCCTCATGCAGTCAATGCCCTGCCTCTCTTCCCCCACCTCCACAGTCTTAGCCACCTGCCTGAGCCCAGATAAAATGCTGCCTCCTCCAGGAAGCCTTCCCTGAATGCCTATCCTGACACACCCCTTTCATGTCACTCAGTACTCTCAGACTTAGGTTAGAATTAATCCCGTACGTGCCCCCTAGGAGGGGTGGGACTCATCTTACTCACCTCCATCGTCCAAGAGCACCCTGCATAGGACCTGGCCTGTCACAGGTGCTCCACAGGTATTTCCGGAAGGAATCATCATAATATTTATTGTTGTTATGAATGGCTGACGTTGACAGAGCCCTCATTTGAGTCAGCCACCGGGCTCAACATGCGAGTCACAGTACACGCATCTTCACGACAGCCCGGCTGACTAGCCCCATTTCACAGATGGGGAAACTGGGACTCTGTGGAAATAAGCAGCTGGCCCGGGCTCTCCCGGCTGGAAGGTGGCAGATTGAGAATTCAGCCGCAGGCGTCGCCTAGATGCAGCCCTGTGACTCTTGTTCTCTGTGCTCTGCCTGCAGCCAAGACGACGGTGCACTGGGCCAGGTGGGAAGCTGGTCAGTGCCCAGGACTCCACTGGCCCCAGACGACCCTGCCAGCCCCGGTGACCCTTGTGGCCAAAGCCTGAGGGACAGAAACCCCTAGAGCGGTCACGACAGGCTCTACTCAGTCCTGCTTTGCCAATGACCCTGAGGGTTCAGAGCAGGCCCTGGATCCCCAGCCCAGCAGGCCGGCTGATGACAAGAGTTCCCTGCTGGCCCCCTGCCACAGGGACACAGAGTACCTTTGCACATAACCTCTCTTTGTCACCCCGTTGGTCACAGTGAATAGGTCAGGCCCAGGGCAAAATGGTAAGGTGGCAGAAGTTTGTCTTGGATGGCGTGTGCAGCGTCTGTTCTGTTCCCTTTCCACTTGGGGCTTCCTGCTGGCTGACCCCTCCCTGTACCTCAGGAGGGACGCAGCGGCTTAACCCTTTGCACCCGAGAGCAGCACCAAAGGACGACAAAGGGGACTTCAGGCTTTTCGGGGAGACGTGCAGTGAAAGTGGGGCTTCTCCTTGCTCACAGAATTAGAACTGACCTACAGCTAGTCCGATGACAGCCTGGGACCTTGTGTCCCCCCGGGGGCCCCTCCTCCACCACCACGGAGCTCAGCGGGGACGATGCTTTCTCCTCTGTTTCCTCACTGGCTCGGAGACCTCCCAGGTAGGGGGGCTGGACAACCCCAGTCCTTGCTGCCACTCTTGTACCCCCAGGACCGGCCTGCTCCTGTTCCCCAATCCTGTGCGTGTGGCCCATGCTAGGACTGCATGGCACCGGCGCCTGGAACCGCTCCCCACTTGACGGACGTCAGAGGCTCAGAGGGGTCACAAGCCTGGTGTGTGAGCGGCTGGGAGTTGAACTTTGGTTCATGTGGCTGCCAAGCCCGTGCAGCCTGGCTCCAGTGGCCTGTTAGCCTCAACTGCCCAACACAGTGTCCCCAGGGAGCAGAGGTCAGCTGGGGACAGGGGAGAAGGGGTGTCCCGCACTGTGCTTCCACTCCAGCCACAGGGCCAGCCTGCCGAGGGCGGCCCACCCCTGCCTCTGCGACCGTGACCCTGGGCAGCGTAACCAACCTGAACCTCCCTTCCCTCTTTTGTGAACTACGAGCTAAAAACACCTATTTCTCGAGATTCTTGTGAGGATTAAACAAGATAATCCAAGTTCAGTGCCGTGCACAGGAGCACCTGCTAGGTGCTCAAGGAAACCTCGCACTGGGCCTGTGCCCCTGGGTGGGGGTGGGGCAGGCTGGTGACAGTGACAGCAGGGCACCGGAACCCACAGGAAACTTCATCACAGAGACCAACAGCACATACATGGGAAGTAACAAAACAAGAAGAAAAAACCTTAAAATTTTGGCTGAGCGAAGGCAGCAGTATAATTACCGTCATTTATAAAAACTGCTTCCCATTAATGCCTAATTCCCGTGAAGCGCAACAATGATTATCTCATTAACTATGTGTCAGATTAACTTTGTTGTAGGTTTTATTTGATTAAAACAGTGAACTCTCAACACGTATGCTCGTTCTTCATAGTCTGTGGTTTCTGGAGCACAGTGCTCTGTTGACATCTTTTTTTCTAAATTAGAAAGCATATTTCTGCGGAAGTGTCTTGTACAATCCAGTTATTTGGGGTCCCCAAGGTGGAGCAAGGTGGAGAGAGAGTTCCCAGTGCTTCCTACCAGCACCCACCTTTGGATAGCAGCACCCACATTTGGATTTTCAAAGGCTGGTGAGGGAGGGTGAATTATGTGTTAATCTTTTAGAAGCTCGGCTTTTGTACCATTTGAATATTTTACTATGTGCATATGCATTATTTTATAGTAGCAGAGGTTGCTGGTTTGGTTTTTTCCCCCCCAATCCGTTGAAAACTCCAAAGTTGTAACATCCTGGATTCTGTTTCCCCCATGGGGAGGAAAGGCTGCTATCTGTCATACGCACTTAAGCGCCTGACAATTTTCTCATTTTCTGATAGGCGCTGCAGCCCCCACCCCCCGCTCCTCACCCCTACCTTAACAGAGAAAAGCTGCTGGCTGACAGCTCCCAGCTGCACAGGGAGATAGCTGAGAATTTCCAATAGGGAAGTGCCATGCCTTGCCAACTCTGGGGAGGACAGAATAATTGGTTGGAACCACAGACCTGGGCGATGGTGCACGGGGAGACGGTCCTGGTAGAAGGTTCCCTGGGGGTGGGCTGGGCATCTCCACGATGCCAGGCTAGAGGCATTGTAGCCAGGCCTCCAGGCCCTTCAGCGGCCCCTCTTACCTCCAGGAGCCCTGGAGTGTGCCACTGCCATGAGAGCGGGGGAGTCTCTGCAGCCCACACTAGAGCCCTGGGTCCCTCTCCTGGAGATCAGGTGGTATGTGGGGGAGGTGGTTCAGGAGGAAAAGTCCGTTCTAGCACTCAACTTCCATGGGGCAGGGAAGATGGGGCGGTGGCAGCGAAGACCCCTGTTCTCATTATAGGAAAGAGAGGCCAGAGATCTGCAAGGGGGGGACTCACATTGTCCCAATTCCCTACAGTCTGTGCAGATGGAGATGGGGGGGTGGGAGTGGCAGGGCTCTCAAGGACAGAGGCATCCTGGAGGATCTCGGGCAGGAGGACCTCAGAGAGAGGAGCCCCTGACAGGGGGAGATGAGGGCAATTGCATGTTCTTTCCCCTCCTGATCAGAATTCTTCCCCCTGGTATAGATTCCCGCCAGCCCAGGGCTCCTGGAGACCGTCCTTCTCCAGCCCCAGCCTCACTCTCTGTGGTCTGACTGCTTTGCCTTTGGCCATTGGATCTAATGCTCAGGGCAGCACCGTCCAGCAGAAATAGAAAGCTGGCACGTAGATAATTCTAAAGTTGTCTACAGCCACATTTTTAAAAATGCGAAGGAACAGGTAAAATTCATTTTAGGAATATATTTTGCCTAATCCAACACCTCTAGAATATTATCATTTCAACATGTAATCAACATAAAAATGAATGAGATCTTTTACACCCTTTTTCTGTACTGAGTCTCTGAAAGCCGGTCTGCAGCTCACTCTTGCAGCACCTCCTGGTTTGGATTAGATCCCTTCTCAGGGCCCAGCAGCCACAGGTGGCTTGTGGCTGCCATATTGGGCAGCACAGGCCCCAGGCTTTCCTTGTGCCCTGTGATTCCCCAAACAGGGAGACCTCCTCACAGGCCCCAGTCCAGACTGCTTTACCTTTCCCCAGGGCAGGAGCAAGTCAACTTTTGAGGCTGGGTGCTCCTCTATCACCTGCCCTATCTGGGCCCTAGTTACGTCCTCTGTCAGGAGAGAGGTTTCCACTAGAATTGTGATTTCAAGCATTGGAACCTGTTTTTCCAAGGAAATTTCACACAGAAGCCCAACGTATAAATCAGAGAGAGTTGACCCTGTTTAAAGAGAGTGAGAGCTTGGGCCTGGCCCCTGGCAGCCCCAGCCCTAGAGGTAACTCACAGGCCAAGCCCCAGAGGACCAAGCAGGAAAACCCTGCATCAACGCTCCATCCAGAGCTCACATTTCAACAGCATTTTCTGAACATTAGAATGACACTGTAGGTGGTTCATGGACCCAGATCTGTAGTAAAAGTATGAAAATGCACGTGGAAAATGCCTCCATTTCAAGTTCAAGGCCTCCACAGAAGGGGGAGGAAGGATGTAAGCTAGGGATGGCACTTGGGTTCTCTTGTCAACATTTAACTTTTTGACCAGAGGAGACCTAAAGAAAATATGGCACGATGTTAACATTTGTTCAAGCTTAGGGTTGGGTGTGTGGCTTTCTGCTCTTCTCTGTATGTTTGGAAGATTTTATAATTTAAATTTACTTAAAAGTTTAAAAAGGGTAAATATATATCATCTGATGTCACTTTAAGCAAAGAATTATTTTAAAAAATAGTGAAGTAGGGGCATCTGAGTGGCTCAGTTGGTTAAGCATTTCTTTTTTTAATTTATTTTTTATTTTTTTTCTTATTAATACAGTATTTGTCTTCCCTCTGTCAAACCCTGAGCCAACCACTTTCCCCAGGCTGCCTGGGGAGATATAGGAAAAGGAACATACAGGGCAAACAAGACATGGGAGGAAGACCTATGGGAAGTGGAGACAACTCCTTCACATGGCGAAGAGGATGAGAAAGGCCAGCATCAGGCAAAAGAGTCCCATGGCCTCTGAGAGGGCAAAGCCCAGAATGGCGTAGGAGAAGAGCTGTTGCTTCAGAGAGGGATTCCTGGCATAACCAATGATGAGGCTCCCAAACACAGTCCCAATTCCAGCCCCAGAGCCAGCCACCCGTACAGTGGCAGTCCCAGCCCCAAGGAACTTGGCTGCTGTGTCAACATCCCTTGAAATGGCGCTGGTTCGGAAGCTGCGGCTAGGAATAAGTGAGGTCAGGGGACATGAGGCTGCCAAGCTGCTGAGGCTGTCATCTGTCAGTGTCTCCGGTGGTTTTAGCACCACTGCAGACAGTGATCGGCTCAACAGCTGAGAGGTGCTCCGGACCAAGGAGGTGGAGACGAACTTTGCACAGGTGTACATTTTCAGGGGGTGAGGGGCTGTAGCAGGAGAGCTGCCCCCAGTGCAGAGACAGCAGAGAGGGGCCTCTTTTTTTGTTGTTGTTTTTTTTTAAGATTTTATTTATTCATTCATGAGAGACACACACAGAGAGAGAGAGAGAGAAAGAGAGAGAGATGCAGAGACACAGGGAGAGGGAGAAGCAGGCTCCATGCAAGGAGCCCGACGTGGGACTCGATCCCGGGAACCCAAGGATCACGCCCTGAGCCAAAGGCAGGTGCTCAACACGGAGCCACCCAGGGGTCCCTTCCTTCCTCCTTTGATAGCTGTGTGTCCCCTCACAAGTGCTGGCTCTGGTTCCTCCCCGTGGCCCCTCCGCCCATGTTCACCGTGACACAGGCTAGACGCTAGGGAAGGTTAGGAGACTTGCCAAGGTCACCTTGCTGGGCTGGCCACAGCAGGAGGTAGAAAGCTGTAGGAGGGCAGCCCGCACCAGGTCCAGTGGGGTTATTTCATCCCAGCAAACAGGTCTTGCTGGTTTGCCATTTGGAGAGTTTGGCCCCAATTCCCATGACCTGGTTAAATGGTAACTTGTCTTTGGTTGTGTGAGAGGAACAGGGAAGGAGCAGACAGCTGTGATGAGGAGCGGTGTGAGACTCAGCCAGCCCTGGGTTCTGGACTGCAAGTGAAGCTTAGTTTCTTTATTTTTTCTTCTCTTCTGGACTCTCCCCCTTTCACACATCTTTCTGGGTAGATGAGTAAGGGCAAGGAGCAGTGGCGATGGTAATAACAGAGTTCCACAGCCATCAAGGACCTTTCATTGGGAGATTGTTTAGCCAAGAACTGCTGTGCCCATTTTACAGAAAGAACACAGAGGCCGAGAGGAGTGAGGTCACTCTGAGTCACTGGCCTTCCTGGCCTAACTCAGGCCTGGCTGCAGGGGACCGAGCTGAAGAGCCAGAGCAGGCCAGGGTGGGGGCACATGCTTCACCTTACAATCTCTGGTTCTTCCAACAGAGTAGAATATCCTTGTTGGCCTTTGATCCTCAATTCTGTGGTCAGAGGGTGGGGGCCACCCTCCTCCCTTTGTTCAGCACCTGCCTCATTACAGAGCAGGGCACATGGGATCTCATCTGTCCCCACAACAGTCTTCTTTGCAGGCAAGGCCGGTTTTACAGACCAGGAAACTGAGAGTCAGCGAGATTAGGGCCCTTGTTCAAAGTGTCACAGCTGGTCAGCCCGAGGGAGACCAGGCCTCCAGACGCCAGCCTGGGACCCAGGCTTGCCTGTGGTTCCCAGGCTTGTGCCAGGCCTGCCCCTACTTCTGGCAGAAGGACCCCAGGACATAACAGCTCTGGTCTGAGGGTTCAGCTGATGTGGGCTAAACTAAGGACCTGCAAAGATTTGTCTCGGAATGGACAGTCGCTGGGAGAGTAAGGATCCTGAGGAGCCCTTCATTTTGCCCTTTCAGGTGAGGTCAGCCTGCCCCGGCCCTGAGACGGCCCGTCTGCTCACTAGCAGGGCCTCAGAGTGGCTGAGCCCATTGTCATCAGCTTGGCCATTTCTCAGGTGGCAGGGTCTCACCCGTCACCGTGTGCTCACTTGGTGTCAACACTCTGGTGAGAGGAAAGGAGGACCCCCACCCCCAGCCCACAATTCCAGGCAGGCAGAAAGAATTTTCTTCAGCTTTTGGAGACCTTGGGGAGAGAGTAGCCCACCCACCCCTCAGACTGTCTGTGGGAACCCCGGGGTGCCCCAGGGTGGGCAGTGCTCCCTAGTCAGAGATTGCATGCAACACAAGACAGGCCGGGGTCATCCGGTCTCCGTGGAGTAGTAGCCGTGACTCCCTTTCCTTTCTGGTACCCTGGATAAGACACTACCTTCCTTGACGGGTCCTACACAAATGCGTTGGCCGGATGTATGTGAAAGAGCCTTCCAGAAGCTCCGGGACCTCCCTGGGATAGAGCATAGTGTCCTCGTCCTGGGCAGCTGGCTCCTGCTCCATCCAGGCTACTGGATGCCATGCTGGGGCCAGAGGTTCTCGAGTGAGGAATCTGTGGAGGTCGGTGAGAGGCGGGAGCCAGGGTCACAGGGAGGGCTGGCCAAGGCCAGCCGCCCACTGCAGGCCACAGCTGAGGCTCTCCCCACACTGAAGGCTTAGTTTTCTCCTGCAGAGCCATGCTGTGTAAATCAGTGCTTGGGTTGAGCAGACTCAAGTCAAAGAGTCCAGCATTGAGCCCCTTCAGGGGTCTGAAGGCCTGGGCCAGCGTGGAGCATCACTTGGCCAGTTCTGGGAGCCTCACTGAGGCTGGAGCAGTTGGCCCAAATGAACTGGGCCCTTCCCCAAATGTGTTCTGGGAGCAGGTGCTAGACCTCATGCCCCAATGGTGGGGCCCACCTTCCCACAGGGAGGAGGCTGAAGGAAAGCCCATTATTTGGTTTGGGAAGAGTTAGCCTCCTGTCACATGCCTCCAACTTTTGACCCAATTCCTGTCTCCCTGAGGGAAAGCCAGACTGGGAAAGGGTGTGGCTGGTGTCCCAGAGGCCTCCGTCCAGCTGATGTCCCCTGATGGAGTCAGGCAGCTCCCTTGTGCTGAGAGAGAGTATGTCTCAAATGGGCACCAAGTTCTCCTTCCAGGCGGGTGGCGGTGTCATGTTCCTCTATCCCAAAAGGGGCTTTGGATCTCCCCAGGCCTTCAGACCTCCGGCTTCCGGGCGCCTGTCTCCTCCAGGGTGCCCCTGTGGATGACTCTGCACCCTCGGGATACTGGGCAGGGGCCGCCCTTACAGAACCAGTTTGAAGCCAAATAGTGTCACGTCATAGTCCATCTGAGCAGGAGGCCACAGCAGGTGAACACAAGTTAGTTCAAGGCCGTGAGTATCCATAGGGTCCCGGGGCAGACCATGGCGCGTGTCCAGCAAGCTCCTTCCTGTCGTCCCCTGGGTACGCAGCCTGGCAAAGTGACCCCAAGGGCTCCCTTCTCCCCCTGTGGCCCACCTGCTGGGTCCCTCACCCTGGGGAGTGAAGTGGGGGGAACAGAATGAGCGGCTCAGCCTTCCTACTATTCAATCTGAGTGGCTGTCTAGAACTCACGGAAGCCTTCTGAGAAGCTCGGTGGGAGGTCTGCCCTCCTCCAAAGGGAGGTAAGTGCCCCCAGGTACAGATGTCTGGGGGGAAGCTGAGGAAAGCCTTGCAGAATTGGGGTCCAGAGGCTGAGCCTCTGCATGGGACAGGCCCTGGCCCTTCCCTTGAAGATGGGAAGCCTGAGGCAGGTCCAGCCCTGGGGGGATGGCCAGGGAAGGGAAGAGCTGGTGGTGGAGGTGAGCCGGATGGGCGGCGAGCTCTGTGGGCCTCTTCCTAGAATGGCCCTCACCTTGTGTGCTGGGGCGGGGTGACTAGGCTGGGGGCACTGCCGGAGAACAGTCAGCACCCCTGGCCAGAGCCTGGGAAAGGAAATGGCCGAGGGACATGCCGTCCGGCCCCTGCAAAGAGCTTCAGAGGAGGAGGCAGCAAAGAGGAAGCCCCCATGGCCTCTTCCAGCACCCCCACTGCCTGCACACCCACGGGGGGTGAGCTCCAACCCACCCTTCCCCGGCTCCCTGCAGCTCCCACCCTCTCCTGCCCTGTGCCCCTGATTCCTGGTGTTCTGCACAGCCATCCGTGTTCCTCCCACTGGGTGAAGAACAGAGGTGGCTCTACCCCAGCAGAGGGACCCTCATCTGTGTCCTGACGCCCTCATAACTCAGTGATGATGGGGCCAGTCACACCTACTCCCTGGACCCCTGCAGCCACATCTGTGAGCCCAGGGCGTGAGACCAGAACAGCCCTGAGCCAGCATCCAGGCCAACTGTTGCCCCCACTACATGGCTTCCCTAACCAGATGGCACCCCCTCATCCTCCCCTCACGCAGGGGGAGCTGATGAATAATTGTGTCTTTTCCTCCCCAATTCACAGGCTCCTCTCCATGATCCCACATCAAGGGGTCTGCCAGTCAGGGGGCTCCCCTGGAAACAACCTAAAGCTGCCATTCACCATTGGAGTAGCTTTTTACAGTGTACCACGCAGCCACATATTATCTGTGATTTTGTGTAATCTTCACTGCAAGGTAAATATTGTTAGCTCTGTTTTATAGATGGGGAGAGTGAGTCTCAGACAAGCCTGTGGCTTGCTCAAAGTCACCTGGCAAGTCAGGGGCAGGGCTTGGGGCCCGGGGCTGGGGCAGGCCCGCCCCAGCATCCCATAGAGCTCCCCCCCAGCCCCCCCCCCCCCCCCCCCCGCCCCGTCAGGGTCGCCCTCCTCCGTGGGGCCGCAGCATGAACACCCAGGCGCCTCCATTCAGGGCCTGGCTCTGCAGACAGCTGAGCCTGGTGATGTCAGCGTTGCCATGGAAACCCTTCCCCGGGCGTCGGGCAGGACCAGCCTCCCCGGCACAGTTTCCCTTTGTGTGGACTTTGCAATGCGTTGCCAAGGCAGTGGGGCCTGCTGGGCGGGTTGGCAAGGGGTGGGGAAAGCAGACAAAAACCCACACCGCATCCCAGCAACCAGCAGCTCACAACAGGGAGCGCCGAGCCCTTGGGAGGGAGGGGCTGCAGGCCGGGCTGTGAGGGGGCGGGGAGGCCGCGCCCCCCTGCGCCGCATCCGGGCGCGGAAATAGCCTCTGAGCATCCTCAGTGCTCTGGTGGGGGTCCTGCCACCCCAGCGTCACCTGGGCGGGGGCTTAGGCGCCAGGCGGAACCAGGCCCCCCGCAGACCCGCTTGGCAGGGGTTGGGGAGGAGCCCCAAGTCCCCAAGGCAATCTGGATGTGCAGTCAGCTCTGAGAACCACCCTTTAGGAGAGAACCTAAATTATTACTGAGCACCTTTTCCCTCATTTATCTCGCATAATCCTCTCAGCCACCCTGAGAGGGAGAGGTGAGCAGAGGAAAGAAGTTTGTTCCGGTTTTTGGGTTTTGTTTTTAATCCACATTGCACAGGGGAAGACACTATCACTCAGAGAGGTTAAGGCCCCTGCTTGCCCACGGTCACCGAGCTTGGAGGCAGCAGGATCTAGATTCACACCCAGGGGCCCCAGGCCCTCCCCCGGGCAGGCCTCCCCACCCGCAGGGGCCAGGGGCCGGCAGCCCTTCCTCCCTCCTGCTGCCTTTCGGGAAGCATCCTAAGGTATGTCTAGAGAGCGGCTAACTCTGTCCCAAGGCTCCTGCCGCTCCCAGATCCCCAGATCCGAGAGGGGCTTGAGCCAGGGGAGCCCAGCGGGGCCGGGCCTCCGCGTCTGCACTGCGGCCGCCTGCCCAGCCCGGGGAGGAAACCCTGCCCTTCCCCTGCCTGGCCCTCCCGCCAGGCCCTCCTCCCAGCAGCCTGCCAGGGCCTCCTGGCTCTCTGGAAAGGCTCCTGAACTCCCCCGTCCCTCCCCTCGCCCCGGGGTAGGTGGCTGCTGACCCAGTGCACACAGAGATGCCCCGATTCTTGGAAGTCTCCAGAAGAGAAACTCGGCGACCTTTGCTGGCCTGGCTGAGCCTCACAGCGTACAGCTGACTGTCCTCCTACGTCCAACCCCCACACCTCCTGCTCTCTTTGAAGATCGGTCCCCTTTTGCTTAACACCCTCTCAGGGCACTCAGAGGGGAGGTCTCCACACTTTGGTCCTGGGGGTCTGTTCTGCTCGTGACCCTGGGAGGAGGCCGAGATCCTGGCTGACAGCACAGCCCTCTTGTCCTCTTCCCCAGGTCAGGGCTCCTCCTCTCAACCTGCATCTTCCTTATTAAAGCTCGACAAAAGCCCAGTGATGTCAAGTGAGGGGTGATGCGGGCCAGGGATGCCAAGAGTGGTTGGGCGGTGAGTGGCCATGGGCCGTCTCAGCCGGGTGCTGGGCCCCACTGAAGCCAGCCAGTGTTCCGGCCCCAAGCGTGACCAGGCTCTGCCTGCCACTCTTTCATTGAACAAGTATTTCCTGAAGTCTCTGCTATGTACAAGGAAGGATAAAAAAAAAAAAAAAAAAAAGCCTCCAAACCAGAGGATAGAAGGATAGAGAGATAAGAACAACCCCAGATACCTGCAATCCTTGCCCCCATAGAGGAACACAATATAGTTGGATTTCACATTTAACATCACTTGGGGATGGAAAGGCAAGATACCTCCAAATACTAACCTTGGTCCTCTCTAGTTGGTGGCATCGTGGGCGACTTTTATTTATTCACTTATTTAAAGATTTTATTTATTTAATCTGTGAGAGACACAGAGAGAGGCAGAGACAGGCAGAAGCAGACTCCCTGTGGAAAGCCCAATGCAGGACTCGATCCCAGGACCCCGGGATCATGCCCTGAGTCGAAGGCACATGCTCACCCACTCAGCCACTCAGGCATCCCATTAAATACCTCTGCTTAAACCTTGTAAGGTCAGCTGGTTCATCCTTTCTCCCCAAAAGGGCACACCCAGACAAGTCAGTAAGGTTCCCTAGCCCTCCATCTGCAGGGTGGGTGAGGATGCCGAGCTGAGTCCAGGCCAAGGGGCCCTGGAGACTCTGACCCCAGCCAGGGAGTGCAGAGTGACCCGGGCATCAGGGGGCGATGAGTGGGTACCCCCCCCACACCAGCCTTTTAGCCCCTGCCCTAGCCTGCCAGCCTGGGCCAGTAGAGGGGAGAATTGGGGTACAGCTTTCCTGAAGGGGACGGACTCTAATGTAACCCGGCCTCTTGGAACTTCAGCTTACTCATCTGTAAATGGGAATAGCAGTGCCTCTTGCATAAGCTGCTGGGGAAATTTAAAAAACGGGCCTGTGGGGCCCCTAGAGGGAGGCCAGCACATAGTAGGTACTCAATAAAGCACTGCTGAACCCATGCATGAACACACACACTGGCTACTCTCCCTTATTGGGCTGGAAACCACCCCCCGTCGTGACTTCAGAGTTGTGTAGCGTCCCATCTTTATCATTTGGGTGAGAAGCTTTCTCTGCTCCTCAAATTCTCCAGCAGGGGCTGTAGCAGCCATGATGTCTGGCTCTCTGCAACATCTCCCAGCGCCCTGGGGCCCAGGCAGCCCCTGTTGGAACTGCCACGTCCAGTCCCACCACACCCCAAACGGCAGCCACAGGAATGAAAAGGATTATGGCTGTTCTGTGGGAAATTGAAACACACACACACACACACACACACACAACCTGGGAGGGCCAAAAGATCCATCTGCAGTCTACAATCTATGTTCTAAATTTTAGCATTGATCTTGCTAAAATAACACCTTTACATGTTATAAGGGCCTCTCTGGGGAATGATTTCCTCCAAAGGGGAGACCATCATAAAGGGGAATCTCAGGCCCTGTGGCAGCCCCTGGATCACACTGGGCATTTGTATGTCCTGTGCTGACCAACCCTGTCTCACTGCCATGAACTTTCAGTCACCAGTGGGTTTGAGATTCCTGGCAACTGTCTCAGGAATGACGTTGTTGCCAGCCAATCAGGTGGGGGGCCTCTCTGGAAACAGAGGTTGTCAGCGGCATCCTGCACTTGTAGAGGGTCCTCTATACAGCTATTGGCTTGGGACTTGGGAGAGGGGGGTGTTCCAGAAACACCCCCTTTCCCAAACTACATCAGATTAGGGTTTCCACTGCTCTTCCTTTCAATAATCCCTGCATTTGATTACCTAACTGCCCATGAACCAGGCCAGGCAGAGGTGATCACCATCCCTATTGCAAGTGAACAAACCAAAGCCCAAAGAATAACTTAGCAGAGGTCACCCAGGAACTAAAGTCCAGCCCTAAGCCCTAGGACCACGTGATAGCAGATTTCCCAAACACTATGTCTTGTCATACCTCCCTCAGGAGACTTTGTGGGATTTCTTTCCCTTTGTAAATTTTATTCTGTAACCGTTACACAAAGCCCATGGCAATGACCATGACAAGGATCCCCAAAGACCCAAAGATAGTCTGTAGCCCACGGCATCATTCTCTAGTATCTCCACACGCTTCTTTCCAATCATTATCCATAGGACAGTCCTAGTTCATCGCCTGTGAAATATACATTTTGCACATCTCTAAAAGACAAATGCGTTTTGCAACTGATGTATACACATAATGTGCTTGTGTCTTCTTTTCCCACCAAAAGAAAAAAAACCAAAAAGCTCCTGGTAAATCTCCTGTGTCATAGAATCCAGGAAGGTCATTTTGCAGAGACAGAGTAAAATCATCAGTGTGGTCTGCCTCCCACTCTCCTCACTTCCCTTGAGATCCCTCAGCATCAGCAAAGGTTAAGGACAACCAGCCCCGACTGGGTGAGACCCAGAGTTTCCTAATCCCTGCCAGCTGGCCACCCCCACGCAGGACACTTGGGCAATGCGACTAAGTTCAATATAAATCAAAACAGCAGTAGGACGTATGTAAGGCCCTGCTCTGTAAATTCCAAGGGGGCAAAGGGAAGGAAGGAAGCTGGTGTTTAGCGAGCACCTACCATGTGACAGCCCTGTACTGGGGAACTGGAGGAATGAGGGCTTCTGGTCCCAGATTGGCAAGGAGGGGATGGTCAGGGCGGGGAACGTTCCAGTTGAATAAGGAATAGCCCAACCTATAGTTTTTCGGACCCTTGGGAATTAGTAAACCAGGGTAAGGTTTTTTTTTTTTCTTTCCACAAAGCATCTTTAAATCGAACGTGTCTTATTAAGCTGCTTGTTTTCAGACGTGTCGAGTTACTGGCAGGCACCACCTGTGCCTCACATGTCCTCGGTCTGAAATGATGAGCCTCAGTATCACCTGGAGGGTTGGTTAAACCACAGATTGCTGGGCCCCACCCCAGAGGTGCTGAGTCAGTAGTTTTAGGGTGGGGTTTGGGAATTTGCATTTCTAACGAGCTTCCCGGGATGCTCAGGCTACTGGTCTGCTTGAGGATTACTTGAGGAGCTCTTAAAAAATGCTGGTGCCTGGACTCTCCCCCAGAACTCTGATTTAACTGGTCTGGGTGCAACCTGGGAGCAGCCTGGGCATCAGGGTTGTCAAAGCCTCCAGGTGATTCTAAAGTCCCGACAAGATTGAGAAGCACCAGCTTAATGAGAAAAACCACCAGGCATAATTAAGGTTCCTCAGCTCTGGAGGTTTCCTAAGATTTCATGGACACCCTCCTCACTTTTCTCGAATTGGGGCATGCCAGGCAGCAGGTGTCTGAGGGACAGAGGGGAGCTGGGCCGTGCAAACCATGTTTCCATACTTGTACCTTTGAAAACACATAAACTGTTTGCTAATGCTGGAAAAAATGTGTAAGCCTATTACCGATGTTTAAATTAGGAGATGTCATAAAACCAAGCTTTCTGGTTCCTCTGGGCAAGCATCTGGGCATGTGACAATGTCTAGCCGGAGCGGGCTTAGGCCTACACTTGCCAGCTGGCCCCAGTTCCCATCACTTCCTGGTGCATTAGCTCTGCTTGGCCTAAGACGCTCGGTGATTTAGCTGCGGAGAGCCGTTTACACCCATCCCCTGTTAGTGGGCAGGTGTGAATGGACAGGTGATGTGCCAGTGGGAACTCAGATTGATGTCTTCAACCAGAGACAGGAGACCTGGGAAAGGAAGTCTGTGGCGTGACCCAAGGTCACCTGGCTGGTTCCTCAGCCTCCCTGCACACCTGGGCCCCTCGAGTCAGGCTGCCCTCTGCCCCCCCAGTCCCAGCCCTACTCTTTCCTCTGCCAGTTGCCATGCCTTGGGGCCCTGAAGCATCCTGGATGACTTGACCCTTCACCAGCTCTGTGACTTTGGACAAATTACTTGGTCTCTCTGAGCTGTTGTCAAATGGAGGTAATATCGTCCATAATGCACTAAACTCCTTGACGGCAGGGACAGTGTTTGTCAATCAGCACTATATGTGTCCCCAGCATGCAGTCCAGTGGCCAGCATACAGTAGGTGCTCAACAAATATTTGTTGAATCAATGAATGGTTGGCCTAAGGATCAAACTGAATAATACATGTAGAACATACTCCTAGGCACAAGGAGGTGTTAAACGAATGTTTCCTGGATCCGAACCCACTGGAGTCCCTGGACTTCTGTAGTTTCCTCCTTGCACTTTCTGGTGGCTCACCTGTCGGGACACATTCTGGGAACTTAAACCATGGATCACTGGGCCCTTTACCACACTTGCCTCCCACCTACACCTGCGCAGCCAATTTCAGCAGAAGAGGCAGCCCCAGGGCCCATCCCACATCCCCTTAACACCACGTTGAATGTTCAACAGCCACCCGGTGCCCATTCCCTCACGACCAGGGACCCTCGCCACCCGACCCGCGCCACCTGCCTGGCCTCCCCTCCTCTCCTGGCTGTCTCCTACCTCAGAAGGAGCTCCCCTCACCCCTTGGCTGACATTATTCTATTTTTTTCCCCTCTGGGGCTTACTCTTGCTACCCGTCTGGCTAGGAACCGCCTCTCCTCCCTCACCTCCTCTCTTACCTCAACAAGCCTCATTCACCTTTCAAAGCCAGTTCAATGTCACCTCCTCCAGGAAAACTTTTCAGACCCCACCCGGTCCAGATTACAGACTCCAGCTCTGCTCCCGTATTACCGGTACATGACTCCATCCTTGCGCTTACCACATTATTTTATAATTATCTGCTTATGTGTCCGGCTTCGCCATTAAATTGTTAGTTTATGGGGGCAGAGACCGTGCTTATTCATCATTCTAACTCCTCTGTGCAGAGTGCCTGGCATGGAGTAACCCTCTTTTCAGATCTTCCTGCTTTGTAACAAATCACCCCACAACTCAGCAGCTTAAAATTGCCATTTCTATTTTGTTCATGGTTTTGTGAATCCGGAATTTGGAAAGTTCTCAGCCAGGCAGTTCGCACTTGGGGTCTACCAGGGGCTGCAATCACGTGAAGGTTCTACGAGGCTGGATGAACGGGATGGTGCATGCACACGGCTGCG